GGTCTCGCCTACAACAACTGGATTGCCAGTTTAAAAGAGTAATGGCAAAACTAGTTGTTTAAGAAAGCAATCCAAGCATATTTTGATAATACAGTGAACTCACGTTATCTGGACAATCGAGGACAACGACTTGAAGGACTTTAGTCTTATCACTCATGGAGGCCTCCCATCCCGATTTATTGTCTTCATTGCGAGGGAAACCGTCCACTAGGTAGTTGACACACTTCTGGCTGCTGTAGCCTTCTAACATAGCCTGAACACATAAACAATGAAATACATCGACTTCGTCCATCTTAAACACTGAAAGTTTCCCTTCAGTACAAAAGCGGCGCAAATGAAGAGTGAGTTTAGTGCAATAAATACAGTGTGTTTCAATTAATATCCTTCTTAACCAAAGCAAAATGAGACACGACTCATTTGGCGTATCTACAAATAAGTGAAAGGGGGCTCAAGCGCCAAAGAGTTTTTAAAAAAGACAGACTCAGCAATCCTTTCCTGTAGTTTTGGTTATTAAATTACAAGGTAAACTGTCATTTGACCCGATAAGTGAAGAGACAGCCCCCTTAACTGCGTTCTCCATGTCTACTTCGAGAATTGTTTTACTACTTTGCATAGGATATGTTGTAATCAGGATTAGTCCCAAATGAGACCATTAATGGGCACAATTGGGTAAATATGAGGTAGAGTTCAGTTTTCCTAACCTAAGATTTACGTCAAGAAAGCTCAGATGGATGGGCCCAATAATCTTCTCTAGAAGCGTAATATGTGGCCTTAACTCCTGTCCAACTCCTAACTAGAACAGCCAATAAACAAGACTGACACGGATGTCCCTTTTCGGAGGATATAAGTAAGCAAGAGGCTGTGGCATGCGCGTTTGGAATGCCTACTTGGTGGGGTGTGGTTAAGGTTTGGTGTATTTATAATACTTATTCACTTTGGTCTTATGGTGAATGTTGGCGGTATTAGAGCGAATCTAAAACTGACGTTAGCCGGTAAGGAGGAAAGGGGCGGGGGCTTAACACTTTGGAAGGCTTGGAAATTCGCCAAGGGGACAGAAACCTCCAGAAACCTACCGTAGGATCGTTTTCTAGTTTTGCAGACATCTCAACAGATAATTTGCGTGACACAACTATCCGAGAAATTACCTCTGCTAATTTGTCAGGGTTTCAGTGTATTATATTGCAAAGACGCCCAATCATGGGTAAACTCGAGGAGAACGAAATAGGACGGGAAATGTTTACAACTACAGGTGAAAACCCTAGTAAGCAGGAAAAGAACCTCTGTTATAACAAAATTGGCACGCAGCCAGAAATTACACTAAACGCGGCCATGTAAAGGATTGCTTTAACCAGAACAACGCCAAAACAGACCCATAAGGCATTAAAACTGACTTTATGAAGGAGAGAACAGGTGATGGCAACAGGAACTATTGTGCCCGCCTTCATGTACGACTCGATTTCAGCCGCGACCTTTGAATTCGGCGAATTCATTTCCTTCCGCAAAAGTTCGCCGGCAGATAAGTGAATCATGTCGAAATGCTGAAATTCAAGTAAAACATTTATCGATTACAATATCAAGAAAGTAAGCACAAAGTCATTAGAATGATACAAAAAACATTAATTTTAAAAGATTTAGGCCAGAAAGGCTCTATAAATGCTACCAAAGCTATCGGCGGGCAGATGGTGCCTTTTCCGGAACCGGGTCCCCCAAGCATGAAAATCACGCCGAATGGCTCTGTACAGTGATGGGTGGAGTCTTGTTTAGCCGCCATTGGAGTGCTGAAATATTTGCAAAGGATCAGAAGGGGTCTTTTCAACAATGAGATGGCAGTGCAACTACTGCAATATGCGTAGCATAAGCAGTGCATCGCACTATCAACTGGCACATATCTGTCAACATACACGCACCACCTGCTTTCGGAAGACGCGGAACAAATTAAGGTAAGCTGAAAATGAACGCGCAAGCCATGCGTTTAAACGACAATATGAACGTAACGGCAAATGTATTAAGAGTATATAGGGACGCAATAACCGTGTGTAGACCTTTAACTTGCACTTCTCAGTACAATGCATGCGCTTATGCTGTGATGGGAAAATCACTTTACTGATTGATCCTTCTCTTATAAGTGTAAATTCACTGTAACATAAGGTCTCGCCGGTTGCAGACAATAATACCCTGTCACTCCTGACCTAATTTGACCTTTGTCGCACAGACAAAAATACTGTGGCAAACAATCCACGAGAACATACCACTGGAGGAATCTTTAAGTGAGTCGTTCACTTCTAGCATGATTAATAGGAAACTCTGATATGTCTAACCACTACCGTGCGATTGAAAATTAAGGCATGGCACTAGAGCCAGTCTACACTAATTAAAAGGTGGTTAATTGACTCCTTTGCTATGTAAACAGAATCCTATTTTACTTCAGGCTATTTTGGACCACTGAAAATGTATTCAAGCAGTTTGTTGATCGAAATAGCACCAACCTGGCCGCCCCCGCCCCCTGAAACCTTATGTTCAGCTAGGCCATCACCAATGTGTGAGAAGAGCGCGGGAAGGGGGAAAAGGAAAAACTACGCACAACTCCGAAGCGCAGATGTTAATGAATTAGCCCCGATTCAGGTGAACTTTGGAATGCGGTCATGGTAAGTGACTGTGTGGATGCCACACTGCTATTCAAAGAGAAAAATAATAATCGACCGTTGGGACGTACAAGTAACATTGCAAGATAGCGGCTGCGAAAAAGTGCGTCTTCACCAATTGCAAGGCAGCAGTAATCGGGCTTAGTTACCTAATCAAATTCAATGAAATCGCCGACATAGTTTATTTTTCCAACGAGATAGCCGGTAGCAATGTCTACTTCTAGTTCCTTTTCATGGAGTAAACTCCAGGTTCCATACACCAATGCATGTCATGGTACCATGCAATACTCCAGTGAATGCCGAAGCTCAATGCATTCCACTGAGAACCATTGTTAAAATCCAGATAAAGCTAGATTAAACCCAATCTTAAGCCAAACGGCCCCTTAAACTATTTCAAATCTAATTCTAACAGTTAAAATGTGTAAATGTGAAAGCACCTCGGCGAACCTTTGCTTGAGGATTTAACATTTTCAAGCCAATTTAATCAGATGCAGAAGTCTGGAGAGTTCTCAAGTCAGTTCAGGCAGTCACGAAATATTTAAAAATAATATGGAGAAAAAGACTGGAACATTAGGAACTGAATCATGCACTTACTTTCGCCTAATTTTGCAGAAATCGAAGGCAACCTCACGGTAACTAGCTGAACGTGCATCGAGATAACGGGCGTAGTGACGAATAAACAAGAACATTGTGGCAGCTAATAAATGAGAGGATTAACATATCGAATTGAAATTCAGGCAATAAGAAAGCAGTGTGAAGAGAAGACCTGGTAAAGTTACCCTGCGAGGAGCTCCGCTCAAAAGAACGAGGCGATGAAAGCTGGCAATTATTTGACGCCAAATATTGGGAAAAGCGCTAGAAATAAGGGAGGAACAAACACATATAAATAGATACTCAGGAAAAGAATCACCCCATTGACCGAAATATGACTGAAAATACCTCGCTCCCAGCGTTCATCAAATGGTGAATCGTAATAAGAGCTTTAAAAGATACAACCCAACTGCTGTTATGCGAGCGACCAATTATGTAGTTTGAGAATTCTGGCATTGAAAGACGAGGCTCGTATGTGCAGCTGACCAGAACTAAATAAAAGAATTTTTAAAAATTGCGGATTTACTGTTCAGATGTTTTCTCTTCGGAGAGATCATTTCTTCAGTGGTGGCCTTGCAGATAGTCTTCGCTATTAATGACCCAGCAATACTGTGTTTCATTGAATTCATTCTATCAGCAAAGCTCTGACCCCTGCTGTTTCCAGTAAGACGTTTGCCAGTCCTAGAGGCCATGGCAGCAGGGCGCCAAAATGTCCGCGGAGGGCCGAGCTTTGCGCAAGCTTCTATAGTCTGTTAAAACAACCGTTAGGATTTACAACAAGTTAAAGGATAAGCACTAAAAGGGTAAAACCTGTTATGTGCATCTTGCTTAGCAAAACAATTATTAAATTGCTGTTATTAAATAAATAATTTGTTATAGTCAAAAGCGGCTTAAAAGTAAACTTCCAGAACTTTATACGTTGAACTTATTTATTTTAAGTTTACTTAGATGACTACACCAAAAGCCTTTTCTAATTTTTTTTTGCAGTTTTGTTTTGTTGGGCATTTAAATTGTGACGCCTATTAACTAAAAAAAGTGCCAGAGTGTTAGTAATACTTTCAATTTTAGACGATGTCCTAACCACCTAATTGGACCCCACTTGACTTCCTTTTGACTTTTTTTTAAGCCCCACTCCTTAGCAAATACCCGTGCTACAAATAAGCGGTATTCTCGCATTCCAGCAAACTTATATTTTGGTAATTTGTTGGGGAATAGCATTCCGCTGCTTGCCTCTCTTGAGAGAATTTTGCATAACAGATTGTATTGTAATACCGTAGCTGCTTGGGTTTGGCTTTTCACAAAGGGTTATTTTATGTCTTGACCATTGTACCTTCTCCGGGTGGGATGTAGTTTAGGCCATGCCGGTGGGCTCGGGCCCTACATATTTTGGTCGTATACTGCCCGAGCATTATGTCTTCTATCATCTTTAGGGAACTCTCTGGGTACAGTTACTTCAAAAGCAGTCTCAAAGCCATGGGCAATCAGTAATTTTGGTCTTTAAATTAATGAGCGTATGTTAAACAACTAGAGACCACATCGGCCTAACACAAATGTTGTCTGCAAACTTCTTCCTCTATCTAACGGAACATTCTTGCTTTTTGTCGACTTTAGATAAGTTTATGTACATTTTGCCTCCCATTTCTTCCGTCCAACTTCCTCCAGGTTTTCACCAGCCTTGTTTTGCATTACATGGAGTGACCCGGGGTAGTTAATTTTCGTCGTCGAAGCTACGATACAATGTACGAGCTCCGATGAAGCCCCAGCTCGATGCTTACCCTAAATTCCGATGTCTTGGCACTTAACCGTGCCGACGGTTGCATGCACATGGGTGAGAACAGCTCGGTTTTTGTTGTGCAACTTGAAGCTCCCAAACAAATCAGCCTGAGTTTTGTTTTGTAGGAAGAATTGCAGATTTCCTGGACGACAAAAATGCCCTTATCCGATTTCGGTCTTCTGCGAAGACTCAAGAAGTTCCCAGTCATCTCTGTCTCCCTGTCAAGGGCTTCACGATCAACCATTCTCTTGAGGTCAGTTACCAGTGGGAGAACCGGGAGAAGTCGGATGAGAAGCGAAATTTTTATGCCTAGTTCTTGTCTTTTTGTGCTATATTTGAAACTTGTGGTTGAATCATTTTCCTATTTATTGCTTCGTGAAAAGTATATGTACAAATAATCTAATTCGTATCGACTGCCTATCAGAGGTCGTGGTGTAGTTCATTTCTAGCGCCTTCTTTTTTGCCATTTTAGTAGTGCTTTAGTATTTGGTGTTCATACCTGCCTCGCTATTTATACACAATTAATTTGAGATTTCCCACGTAAATCTTTGCAAAAACTACTCAGTGAAGTGGTTTTTTAGCACTTATATCTAAATGAACGCCATGCTTGACTGTAGAAGCTTTAAGCTACACAAATCACAAAATCCCCCAAAAGCAGTTGATGCTGGTAAGCTCTTGCTGGCATATTCGTTGGTAATCCTCTCCAAGATGTCCTGTATGCGGTAGCCCAAGCTACCGGGGAGAGGAGAGTTAGGTCACAATTATGCGCATGTACCCTTCGTCCGTTCACGTACACACTCATGAGAAAGTCATGGATAAAATGTGAAATTTTGTTGTTCCGTTGAATTAGACAAATTGCATGAGGAAATGGCTTCTTCGCGTTCCTTTTACTGCTTCCTATTTCGCTATTCGGATACTTCTTTATTACTCCATCCTGATATAAAGGAAGGGTTTGTTTCCCACTTAACCACCACCTTCGCCAACTCTTTTGCCAAATAATCCCTCTATCGATTGTTTACACGCATCCATTCTAACAGGCAACTTATTTTCAGCTGAATGATCCAGTTCTGGTTCGAATGCAGAACATGCAGACTGGTCTACAGTGCTGGGTTCCGGGTCACGTGGCTGACACGGCTCGAAACTCAATGGATCGCTGTCAAGCTCTCAATTTGAATTATTCCATTCAACTGTTCTACGGAAGCTGTGTAAGATGTTTATTTTCTACCGGTTATAACTGAGATCCATCTGTCTACTCGACACAAGTCGAAGCCGCATAAAATACCCCTCTTTTTTCGGTAATTATGAGAATCAGTCAAAAAGCTGAGAGAAAACTTTCTCTCTACAACAGACCACTTTTTTATCTCCGAACAATTGATCTGTGAAAGGATTTCTAGTTTAGCCGGGATGGATGGGAGAACGACAGATTTCTCGTCCTCATTTTTTTCCACTGTCTCTCACCCTTTCTCGATCCTAGACAGCAGCATGATCATATAAGGAATAAAGTTGGTAATTAGGACGTAAAGATAGGTTGGAGGCGGAGTAGAATGTGGACAGGCTCTTCCTTCTACTTCCAATGCGCTTTGTCCAACAAATGAGTTACTTCAAGGAACTGCATCCATTTATTCGATACGTTAAAAGATGATTGCAGAGACCCATTTAGTTAATGCTAACCAGTAGAACCTCGCTTGTGGATGGCATGGACGGAGGTCGGTTCTATCGGTCAAATTGGGATAAGATAGACAACTTCATGCTGTTGAAGCTCTCCTAAGGTACTTTGGTGATAATGCCTCTAAACCCCATGCCTTGTAGAGGCTGTTCAGGAATCGTGATACTGTGAAAATCTCGCCCCAACTTCATGACGCACTTGTCAATTACATTATCAACCTCAATGTGTGAGTTGGCAGTTGTCGCGACGATGTGCACGTCCCATTCTACTTGTGTCAATTAAGTAGTAAAGCCGGTGGCATGACATTTGGCTTATCCACTTCATGCAACCTTTTTAGCGATGATCGTGGAAACTGTAAACGAGCAACCAATGCAAAGCCAAAGCCATCAAGAAGTACTGTGACGAAACGGAAGAAACACTCGGGTAAATCTGTAGAGGTAAGATGGTTTGTCTTTACCAAGAAGAAGTTGCTTTTAATTAATATTTAGTGTTTTATTCACTCAGGTTAGTAAACAAACGAACCAACTATCCCTGTATCCGCTACGCCATTTCGGCTTTCTCCACACTTTTCAATTCACTATGGATGATCCTACCAAAGGTTAACTTATGCTCTTGGCGTATGACAATAGAATTCTGTTTCACCTCGGTTTTTGCATCGAACCGGAAGAGTATTCGCCCTGTCAGGCAGAGGTCGAACCCCAGGCCTAGGAACAATCAACCCTACCTCCCCCTCTTCCTCCTCCCCCCACCTGTCCTCTTCCTCCACCTCCTCTTCTCATCCCCCAAATCATCAAAGTGATGGCTGAATTCAAGCTCCTTCACGTTTGTCTCTTTGATGACTTTCCAGAAATAGTGCTAGTCACTAGAGTTAGCTCTTGAGAAGTGATTCATCAAAGGCGAAACTTTATTTCAAGTAGGACGTGTGATTTAAAACATTAGGGTGGGGTGAATCCTAGTCCAAATACTGTTAGGAGTAACCAAGGCGTTGTGCTTTGTTTTTTTTAGATGGTCAGACAACCATCTGTCTCTTCGACGCAGCTGAAGGAGAAGACAACGCAATTTGCAAAACCACTGATATCACCTGCAAATCATGGCGACCCAATTCGAGGCGCCTCGCATAGACGTCTTTCCAAGTTGGACTTCTTGTCTAAAATATCATCCCCGCATTTCAAAAAGCAGCGCACCACGATGGAGACGAATAAAAAGGATGATTCTAGCCGGAACAGGCAAAAATTTGGCCCATTTGAGAAGAAGGGCTTGGGGGAGTTGGTTGAAAGCCCACCCCCATCTCCAACAGATAGGGTGTGGACGAGAGCGACTAATTCCCTAACCAGTAGTGCCAATCCAAGCGCTGACAACGCTGATGATTTTGCAGATGGATATGAGGAGTTTGATGAGTGGGATAAGACTTATACACCGACTTCTTCAATCCTTGGTTTAACTGATCCTGAGAAGGAGGCGGTCGCAGTGCAAGAAGATGCAAGCGTTGCGGTGGATCTACCGAAAGCCAATTGTCGACTAACCGTGAGTGCGTCGATAAATAGGTCCGAAGAATCAAGCAAAACTTGTGCGGACTCGAAATTTGTTGATGTTACGCTATTTCCTGAAGGCAAGAGTGGGTCTTATCAACAGACAGTTAACCTGACTATTCCCCATGGAGGTCGTCACGGGAGTGGTGGATCTGGAGTAGTTAAAGTGGTGGAAGTACCTTTTGCGGAGAAGCATCTTATCAACGTGGAACAGTTTTTGATTCAGGAGAGTGACGAGAGATACGTAGTTACAGATGACTGTGAGGAGAGTAGAAGCGGAGAAACCACCGCAACTGTGGAGGCGGAACCAATCACGCCAACTCGTTCAACGGATCAACCAGTCTGCTTGGGTGCTTCGATGGATTGCATCCCAGGGGACGAACGCGTTCTGGAGATGTCTTCTTTAAGACCCAGTAAGGCTTCAGTGATTGAGGGGTTGAGCTCTTTGGAACCTCATCCAGGCGTTGAGAGGTTAACAGTACATGTGCCGGAGAGATTTTCCACACCACTGTGTCATGAGGCTTGTCAAATAGAAAGTATCCCAAAATTCTCCGCCTCCAACTTCATGTTAAAGTGCTTAACAGTGGAAAGATATTTGTTGGCTGTGGTGAAAGGGCTCGCCAGTTTTTCGGGTGAGCGAGTGGTGCTTAAAACTCTGGAAGCTGTGGAATGCGTAAATCACCTTCAATTGATTTTTGTTGAAGCTCTTGAATTGCGTAGTTCTGTGAAGGCAAGTTTGAATACGCACAGGGGGCGAGAATTGTGCCTGAAAAAACGGGAAAAAGCAGAGGCTGGAAATAACAGTTCCACTCCTCAGAATGCGTTGGCTCAGAAATCTAGGATTCGTCATCGGGATGAAAAGAAACGGCTTCTAGGGACGGAATTGGATCATTGGACTAGGCAGTGCTTGGAAAAGATCCCGCCTCAAGAGCTTGCGGATGGGGTTAGCAAAGGCAAACATTCTTTTGAAGGTGACAACGACCTTGAACCCTGTGCGCCAATCATAGCCCAAGGCGTGAGTGAGTTGGAGCGAAGACTGCATTCGGCTTTCCTTACACCCAGACGGCGTCGAATTCGAGCTTTCAACTAACACTGGCGACATCTTTGAACGAGGGATAGGAGTAGCAAAACACGACCTTGAGGGGTTAAAGAGGGCTCTTTTCTAAATAGACTCAGTGGTAATATTTTGTACAAATTGATTTTCTTGTTTTTGACAAGATGTTTGAGTTTATTTTGATTGCTTGATGCGAAATAAAAGAATGAGTCTTTGAAATTGTCCTCACCTTTTCTTCTTTTTTTTTGAAGACACCGCTTGATACCCAAATTCACTGCAGACGCAGGCAGGAGTCTTGAGTGTGTCGAGTATGTCCCTGTTTCCTTATGCACGCTTCTCAGTTCGCCAATTGGGGGAATCTTGGAGCTTGTAATTTTTTCATGCCGGAAGAGGCCTATCTCATGGCTTTTACCTCAGGAGATCATAATTTAACCCCCACCACCAACCACCCGTCCACTTACCCCTTAGCTCTGGTTTCATCTAGACCCTTGAAACGCTGCTACGATCGTTCAGGCCAAACTGAATCTCTAGATTTCATAGAAGGCCCCAGGGAATACATTTTGGTAGAGAGAACCGGCACTACGGCACAACTGTGAACTCATCCCAGCAAAAGATTCTCCATCACGACCCAACCTTCCTGCAGCGACTGACTGGCTTTCCGATCTTGAAGGTGTTCGTTAACGACTACGTTCACCCCTGACACAGAGAGGCCGCCTCTCACGCAACTGCGCAATGACTGAAAGTCCACACGAGTGACTGCCGCCATATCGTGGAATGCTGGCAAAATTGGCGCCACCACTACCACTGGCGTACCGTGATCGAAGGTGCTGCTACGAGTAAACCCACCCTCGAACTACTACTCACTTCGATATCAGCCCCTCTCCACCCCACACGAAGGAGCGACAACGAAAGACCCAGTCCTTCTAGGCTTCACATGTAATTCCAACAACCTCCATACACACGCACAAACGCACTCACACACGAGTAGTCAACACAAGTCAGTAATGTAAGTGTGTGCGGTGTGCGTGCTTGCCAGTGAGTGGTGAGATAAGTTTCCTAACATCATCGTCTATTGTTTCATGTAGCAGGCAGAGTAGGGAACTAACGCTTTCTCAGCAGCAGCAGCAACACCAGCATCACCATCGTCATTAGCGTTGGAAGAATATTTTGACAGCATTATGTCATTAGGAATAAAGGAAAGCGGTGTTAAAAGAGCGGAGATCGATAAGACGTGGAGGAGGGAGGAGAAAGATCGACGAGAGCACGAAATGGAAGCGGTGGCTTGGAAGACGTCGATAGGGTGAGGGAGTCAGCGACAGTAGCAGTGGTGGTGGAGGCTAGGTGTGGTATTGACCTCGGTGGGAGCTCTTCCTTATGCTCCCAGCGACTGGTCGCTTTTGCTTGTACAGCATCGCGCGATTCAGCTGTGGTCCTGCACACAACACAGAAACAAACACGCACACGGGATCATCAACACGTCTGCCACAAGCGCCGTCACCCATATGTGACGAGTGTTCTTTATCTGTTCATATAACTGGCTGCACATGCAACTGCATTGGAAACAAATTTGGAATGAAGCCTTGGGGCTTTTAAACACCATTTTAGTCGGCTACTTGGGTAGTACAAATTTTGAAGTTCGTGCAGTCGATTTTCTCCCTCAACCACCCACCCACCACACAGTACCAGAGGTGCCACCTCCTGTTCAACAGTGTCTTGCTGTCCTCTGTGCGCGTTGGTAATAAGTTCATCACTGCCAGACTAGTAGCATTTTAAAACCGGTCCCTGCACAGATGATGGAGGCCATCCAAATGCCTCAACAACATGGAATTTAGCGAGGTGTTAAAGGGCAAATTGATGACAAAGGCTGCCACTTCCAACTCACCGAAGTAGCTAAGTTGAACGGGTAGGAATATGATGCCAACTACAGCACCGAAGAGGACCATGCACAGGTACATGCGGAAGTAGAAGACTTGAAATAGACGCGACTTGGCGAAGCCCAGCACCACGATACCACCAAACTTGGTCAGTGTGATGCCTCGCAGAACCTGCACACAGACGGAACAGTGGTGTAGTCAGGCCTTACCCTCTAACCTAAGTCAAGAATAACATGATTCCACTCCATGAAGCTTCAAAGAAGAAAAACTCCACCACGAACTGGCCAGTAACTTCGTGATAGGTGGACATACAGCCATGGGAAACAGCAAACCTGTCCCACTCACAAATTGTGCAACATGCCAATGCAGGACACCTACCGAGCTGCCCATCTCTGAAAGCGCATCCAATGCTCGCTCCACACGGGTCGCCTTGGTGCTGATGGCGAAGGAACGGACAATGTGCGCGCAAAATTCCACTGAGATTCCAATGCACTAAAAGGAAGGGGAAGATGGCAGTACAGGCTAAGAGAGTGGGGAAGTCAAGCTGTGAGTTGAAGGGGATCATGAGATAGGCAAGCGGTGCCATCTCCACGTTCACTTTGACTCGCTACGATCTCGTGTGATGCAGCCCCCTACCACCCACCTCCGCCATCCCCTCCATTCGCTCAATTCTCCACCACGTTTCGCCATCTCTGGACTGACGAAAACAACCGCGTGCAAAATCGGGGCAAATAAAAATGCCGGGTGGGGCGACTCCTAGATGCAAAAACTCGATTGGGCACAACAAAAGTGCTTCTGTGCACTTTTCCTACTCCCACCAATCAAGCAACCGCAGTTTTTTATGGCATTTTCACTCCACCCGGCGGAGGAGAGGGAAGGAAGCTTCATTCAACCTTCATTTGGATAAAAGTTACTATCTCCACAATAGTGGCGTTGTAGTTCACCTCCCTGTTCAATTCAACTTGGTCAAATTCGCATCGGCAAGACTAAAGTTAGTGTTGTCTCATTGCCCACCATGGTATCCAGCGCCAACGTTAAGGCTTGTGGATGGGCGATTGACTAGGATGCAGGCTAGGATGCACCACTACTAGTAAAGTCTATGACCATTCGTGCTATGGTGCTAATTCAAGGCTCGAAGGAGGATAGGCAAGGGCCAGATTTGGGTGCTTGCCACACTTACCACCACAAGATTGACCAGTGAGATGGCATTCAGTGAGATGTCCCATAGCACCATCATGGCAGTCACTGAGAGCGCAATGGACGCCACTCCCACCACAACATTCAGCGTGGCGATGAAATCAAGACCCAGCATTACCCAAGTAATCACGGAGACTGCACTCAGACCCATGGACATCTGAACCATGGTCTCGTGGATGATGTTCAGATACTGCTCGTAGAACACGTAGAATACGCTATCGCAGAGCAAAGACGATTAAACATCTCAACGTGAATCCATTTCCCAAAGCGTAACATGGAGAGTCACAAGTCCCTACCTATAAGGGAAAACCGAGTTGGGCTGTGGTCCACGCGGCTTGGAGGTGAGTTTAGAGAACATCGGTGTGGTTTCTATCGCCATCGACGACTCATTGGCCCATCGAGGTCCAAAGATGTCGGAGATTTCACGGGCCTTTCGGATGGCCTCAATGAAGTCTTCTGTGGTGCGCAGAATGCTGTGATGGGCGGCGAAATGGGAGGTTAGCACACGTAACTGCTGCGTGGAAGTGGCGGTGAAATTGGAGTGAGGATGGGATGCAGCGAGAACCACTGCAGAACCATGCTGCGCTTTGCCACTGTTGGAAGACGAGAAAGTGCATGCTAATTCAGATGAGCGAGCCACATCTCCATCCACATATCCCTCTCTCCCAAATTTACACATCCATCTTGGACCAACCCACCTCCCTGCCAATTAATTCATCCATCCACTCTTCACATGCATCCGTACACCCATCTTAAATAGACTAACTCATTCCTTTTTGCTTCGTTCAACCATATACCCATCCATTTGCCTCAGATCTATCCCTCTACCCCACGGTCCATCCATTCATTATCGGCCACGAGTCGATTCAACCAACCTTTCTAAATTCATGCATCAGTGCATGCGTCTCTCTACCCATTCACCTGTGAAGCTTCCTCGTCTTCACCAATTTGAAGGGAAGGCTTAATCCACGTCAAATTCTGGTGCTATTGTTAATTCCTGATAAGAAAACTCAGACAGACGATTAGACCCCCTTTTTCCATCTCAAGGCCAAGTTCAACCACCGAAACTTCTACTCTCACGACAGTCTCGTCTCATTGTTTCCCTAATTATCTCCACTTCTACACATAACCCACGGACTGAACGCTACTTTTAAAGCATTACACTTCGAGCCTGATGACTGTAGCACGGAACTAGTTGATTTAAAAAAGCGCCCTAACAGCCACTCGGCCAGTTACCTCGTTTCAAACAATCAATTCCACTCAATTAACACGTGATGACCAATCAAATTCAGGCGACCAACCAGCCAATCAAACGCCAACTCTATTCCACCAATCCAAATGGGGAAATTCTACGTGTTTCTACTTTTCCATGTGTTTTGGTCATTTTCAGACCGTATTTGTCTACTCACCCATAAGGGCAATTGATGCTGGGCACACGAGCAAGGAAGTTGGGCAGAAGTTGATTGAAGGGTTTTCCAGAGAGGGCACCATTGATGGTAGGACAGTAATCGCAGTTCTGCTCACGAGCCGAGTCACAGAAGGTCAGGCCACCTTCGGTTTTGTGGACTCCGCAGCAGGAAAGGTGCGTGCTCCACATCCTGTAGTCATCCACCCAGGACATCAAGGGATTTGAGATGCAGTATCTAGGCCAACAAAGATAAATCCAAAAACGAGATGGATGAGATACCGGATTTGGAGAACTCGTGTTCCTGCATGTTAAAGATCTCTGGAGTGCTGCAACCCCTTGCCACGTTCACCATCAGCGTCACACAAATGTGGTGCTCTGATTTTTTTTCACATGAGTACGAATGTCACACCCATTTGAAGCACATTCAATCAAGGGGAAGTAGGTGAGGTTAGAGGGAGGATAACAGGCAATGCGTTAGAAGAAAAGCACAAGCGGGCTACGCTGGTCGACTTTTATCGAGCAACCCTGACATGGAGATGGCTAGAGAAAAGTAAGGTCGACCACATAAACTGTCCCAAGGAAGTTGACTTATCAGTAGTACAGCCATCGAGTACACAGACACACCTAATTTCAGACAACAGAAGGATTATTTAAATGTTTCGTTTCTTGTTTGGACAAATTATTCGGGCAACGGACCGCCACAGACTGGGAGGTGGAGCAAATGGATTTTTGTTCTTCCAGATCAGGTTTCAGGACATTGAATATACACAACGAAAAGTACTCGCGCCGAAAGGAATTTACATGTTGCATCCAATGAACCGAATTTCAGTCGGAAGGTGCGCATATTTTTACCGTCAGGGTGGAGCAACATCATGCCGGTGAACAAAACAGACAGTTCAGCGGTTCGGTGGTTTACCGAAACTTGGGTCATTCTAGCCCCAACTGAGTTGGTCTCGTAAGTGGACAGGTAGCAAGTTGTAAACAGGACACACCTGGCGTCACACATATGTGACGCTCCGGTTTTATCACCCGAGGTCAAATATACATCTCTTCTCTGTCAGTTTTTTTGATAACTAGCTGCAACAAATCCTTTGCAGTAAAGTGTTTGGTTGAAATTAAAACAATGCAAAGTAAGCGAAATACTCCTAGTTTAAAGAGGACGACAGTACTGACACACGTGTCCTATTCGAACAATGATAATTTGGACTGCGAAGATTTTAGTCACCTACGAGAGCTTATGGCAGCCAAAGCGTTAGTGTATAGCCACTTACCCTGCAGTGTATCTTACTTTCAGTCAGGGAGATCCTAAGTAAATCCAGTCTCACACATCCTAGGTACATCGGAAGGGCATCTAAAGATCCCTTTGGCTATCTTGCTCTTCAATTGCATCGCCTAATTCAACTAAGGGACAAAGGCATGGTTCCCCTAGCAATCGCTAAAGTAAAGTAATAGAACTCGACAACTTTTAGTCATTCCCACACAGAACACCCAGTTTTGTTCGTGTTGTCAGGGCAAAAATGGCTATGCCTCGTAGGGATAAATTTTGATATGAGTTGAGCGACATTTCAGTAAAAAGGCTACTCAGTGAGCGCTTATTGCATCATCAATGGAGTTTCAACTTTCAAACAATGCACTGAAGAATTCACAACTTTCTTTCACTCACTCCTTGCTGGCAATGCTCTGTTTCAGTGTATTCACAAGTGAATCCTCATCACAACCGGGTCGCGAGCAGATCTGGTTCTGTCCATGGACCGAATCGAAGCTGTGGCCCTCAGTGACGACAAAGTAAACTGGCGGTCCCACCGCCAGCAGGCCGGATGTGGCTTCAAAGTACTCCAGCACGTAGGAGTCCAACGACATGGACAGCTTCTGGTCCAGCCCGATGTGAATACCACCAGGGATTATGGCAATGCAGAAGCATATCCAACCCAGGAAGAGGATGAAGAGGAGGGCCCGCACCCACTTGGAGAGGATGAAAGGCGCCAGCACGTGTGCCACGAAGCGGTACAGCCAGGGTCGGTCGCTCTTTCCTACATCGGTGAGAGGAAATTGGCAGTTACGTGAAACACAACAGACTCACCACTTGGTCGTTACCACTACCACGTGGATGCTGCCACACCAGGCATTTCAGGAGCTTGGGCACCTAAAGTGTTCGAGGGATCGTCGGCCACCACCAACGATCCCATCAGTAACCATATGGAGCTGTTTTACTGTACAACTAACCAACTCCCTTCTGGAGGATTCAAGCCTCGATTTCAGTAAAGGCGGAATGCATGCAGCTGATTATTCTACTTATTTGTATAATATACGGGCATGAAAGGAAAATAGATTCAATCCTCTAGTGAGACAAATTCATGGCCATAAGTTGAAGAGTGGGGATAGAGGCGGTTACGCATTTCAGTCAACTTATAAGCAGTGAGTGCTTGTGAGAGTGGAAGAGGACTTGAGAATGGTGATTCAGAAAGAATGAAACCTAATGGCATAGTGACCACTGATTATTCTCAGCAAATGGAATAACAAATGCAAAAGCATCCCTTTCGCCAATCGCCGTTTGAGCATAACACAAGCAGGACGTTGTGACCAAGGCGAGTTCGAGAGGAGTTCCACTGAAACGACACCTCATTGTAATAACTCGAATAACTTTCATCCCAGGAGAGTGGGAATACCATGCGAATCTGCGATTCGCCAATTGGTGGGAGTGAAAAAAGTGCACAGAACCACTTTTAGTGTGCCTAATCATGCTCTTTCACCTCTGATTCGTTCCATCCCGTACTGAAATACATCCCAATTTTGCGCAGGGCTGTTTCCATCAGTCCGGTGATTGCAAAACGTGGCACACAGTTGGGCGAATAGAAGGGAAAAGGGGAGGAGAGTGGTGCAAAGTGAACTGGCCCAATGTCGTTTACACCTCACTTCTCCCACTCATCCAATTCCACAATCCGTGTCCATGTAGATGGATCAGTTACTGACTTTGGGTTAAAAGGTGTGGTTTCAGCACATGGTTATCACTTCTGTGCAACGCTACAGCTCTGACCATTGGAGTGCTTTAGATGGAATCCGTTGTGAGTGGATGTTTCTGCCAACTGAACTGGTTTTCGTCGTCAGTATAAGTTTTCTAGGAAAAGTACTTGACACACGAAAAGCTCACCTTCTGTATATCATCAGCCAGCCTGGAACAATACTAAGTGTCACATCTAATCCGACGCAGAAGGGTAATCGTGAAGGCCAGCCAGGAATGGTAGCAAAACATTATCCAACCCTGCAGTCCATTCTGCTAGGGCTAAGTACCACCCTCATGAATACCCCAACAGTTATACACTGAGCACTTCTGATGTCTACAAGTGCTGCCCAGTTCCAATCATAGCAATAGGAGAGGACCCCGCTAAATGCAGTAAGGCGAACCCACTTTTGTTTTTGCGCCGTTTTCCTAGGTTTTCGGTCTCCGGCATCGAATCCTCCTCGTCCGTGAGACTTTCACTTGGCATCACCATCTCCACACAACAGCAGAGGTCCAGTCGGTTGGCCTGGGGTGGCGAGGAGAAAAACAACAATGAAATTGGTGCTGGTGACAGTAACAGGAGGTTCATATTATTTGAAAAAGTGAACACCCTAGACTGTCTGGCAAACGGTGTTCTGAATGAAAACCAACTTCGACGACACACTTTCCACTTTATTATTCCAACAGGGTGAGCTAGAGGGTGAAGGTATTTACTCAGAACCTAGAGTAACACGCTCGTTGCCAGGATCTCAGGGCAGATAGATCGGCCTACTAATAATAGCAGGAGTTATCATTAGTCTTCTTGGCCAATTCAAATACCACTTACAAATCTCAATCATTCGCGGATCAGGAACATTCCAAATCTACTCTGTTGTTATAAATTCTGGCAATCTGTTTGGGACACACGATTTAGCCCAATCACTCCAGGCTCAGGTAAGATAACTCGATTTGGAAAATCGGATCAGAGGATCTGTGAATTGGAGGAGGTCTTAAGTGGATGGTCAAGGGTGCCTGAAACGATGGCACCAATTGGAATCCTTTGAGGATTATAGTAGGCTTGGCGAGTGGTTCAAAGAGCGGGGCCTAATATTACAGACATCTTAGGAGACAGAGAGGCTTATTTTGTCGTGGTCTCGACTAGAGAGGACAGCTCATTCATTTTACTGACCAACTACGTCTCAATTCATTTATGCAGCTGCTTTCATTTGCTCGTCTGTCCATCAACACCAACTTTAGCCAGCCCTTTCAACCAACCACCCATTAATTATCAATGCAACTATTCATCCATTTGTTCCTCCATCCATCTCTGCATTCATACATTCATCCGTCAATCTGTTCAACTAAGCATTCATTCACCCAAATCTCCATTCCTTCACCCATCAGTCCTCCTACTCATGCACCCATCTGGCTAACTGCCCATCCACTTACCCGTGGATTCATTCATTCCTTCATTCACCCATTCAGCTAGTCATTCAGCCCTTGCGACATTTTGCAGCCCATTCGACAATGCAACCATCCTCTTATGCACCAATAAAAGCCTTCGTAAGAATCTGTACTGAACACATGCCCAGTAGATGTAAACAATGGAAAATATGTTTAAGTATGGAGGAAGTAGTGTGACAAAGTTGGTTTTAAACAAACTCAGTTCGATTTATCAAAAAATTGGTAAGCAGAACATTACTGTTTACGATAGGCGAAAGATGGTAGTAGTAAGATGATAGAAGCGCGTTTATCTTCCATAAGAGGACTGCTTTCAAAAGGGGAAAATGGGAGACAATGAAGTGTTAAAATAAGAATAACTAAGGGCAGCAAATTACCCCTCCCTCCTCTTAAACTTTAGCCCACTTGACCTTCAGTTGCCTCTCACGTCGTCTGAATGTGGCATTAGGAAAGGGCAAGTCTTCACTTTTGCCGTGTGCAGGCAAAAAGCAAAGGCCCCTGAATTGGGTGGCAAAGACACTCCTTAAGGGAGCTACATAGAGCGATGTTTTTACACCAAGGGCAAATCTTCCCAACGATGAAGCACCTCGCTTTAGTACAGGTGCTTGCACGAATAAGTAGTAGCGATTTGATGTATTGTCGCTGCATTTAGTGTTTCGGATTGGCTGCGTGGTCCGATCCATAACCCATCTATACGCTATTAATAGATCCCTCTCAACGCAGACATGCTTTGCTAGGCCTTCAAAGGAGGCTCAGCACCTACAAATCCTGCCATCAATCAATCCAGACATGGCGCGGGTGCCACATTCCTGGCAACCTACAGCTTTCCTAACCACTTCATAAACGAGGCCCTAAATCCATGCTAGACATGCACGCCAACAGCGGGAGACGATCGGTGATCACGGAGACACACGCACACACCTGTCTGAAATGCTCAAGGAATGAGAGGGTGCTGCTGTTTCTTTCACAAAAGTCCCGCAGCCACCTTCACTTCATGAGATGTACACCTCCACAGTAAACTGCAAAGACAATGGACCTGACAGACGTGGACATTGTACGTCTACAGTTTGCAGCCAAAGTCAAAAAGCCCCAACACTTTTGGAAGACACCTTTGCAGAATACTAATCGCACTTAATACTTTAACTGAAGACAACAATGCAAATAGATGCATAGACACAACCTTAAGGTAGTTTCTTTGTTTACGGCGTCAACGGGCTCAAATTTCATCACGTAGTAAGGCGTATTTTAACCTACCATGCAAGTTGTCAATCAATCCACTTGGGTCCCTTTTCTACTTCGTTTTCGTTGATGCAGACATGTGTACACTCGAGTGATAAACGCAGACAATGTGACAAAGGAAGGAAATCATCTGACCGCATAGTTATGTAGGGAGTAACCAGGTTTAGCGAATGAATTTGGATAGTGCATGCTGGAGAAGACCAACGAACTGTCCGCGAAATTGATTATGAGAAGAAGAGAAAATTCATGTAGGAACGCGCTACTACCTATACCACTACTACTACGCTCACTAGTGGACGCAGGCGTTACCTCGGGTCTTGGTTTTTACAGCCAAACCCCTGCCCATGTGCCCAACCATCAGTTCTCCCACCAATCTTATCGTATATGCACCCGTCTATTCATCCACACATCAATCCATCCACCCACCCATCTATCCACCCCTTAATTCCTACATCTACCGATCGACCCATCCATCCGCCTCTTCCCTCATCCATTCATCTAACCGCCGGCCCGCCCGCCCGCCCGCGCGTCCATCCATCCAATCCGTCTTTCCCTCATCCAACTAGCGCAATAACATCAAAATTTCCCAGGTCAGACTTCAACTTAAAGAAGACATTAACAATGACCAAGTTGCAAACACTACTTGAGAGTTGACTCACCACCATTAGCAGCATTCATTGGCAGGCAATGCAATGCGAAAATAAAAAAGTAGTGTAAGGTGCATAGCAACTACGCAGTTTAACTGGCAAGAAAGCTATTGCCGTGACAAACATAGGCACGAATCCAGTACGCAGCAGCGCATACGCACGTAAGCAGTTGAAGGTCAGCAGTGGCAAGGCTGGCGCAAGAATCGGACGATTTTTGCCCTCAAGGTCACGTGTTGCTACTTGGCACGTGCATCCATGCACGTTACTATGACTACGACTACTGAATGTGATAGTAAGGCAGAGGTAGTTGGCAAATCAAGTGGAAAGAGAAAATGGCAAGTGGACAGGAGGGGATGAATAGTGGGTTAGCATATGAGAGAAAGTGGATAGCGACTCGAGTCAGCTCCAATTGCTTCCCTCATAACTCACTCACACTATGTAAAAGCGGTAGGGGACTCCAACCATAAACTCACATGTGACCGTATTAAAGCCAAATCAAGGCTTTCATATGCTACGGCTTCAAGAGGAGCCCCAACGCCATCCTGGTGGCAGGACGATGGAATGCTCTTGATACTTTTTATTGAGGAAGGATGAGGTCCCTTTCCATGAGGATAAATATGCCCACTCCAAACCTTTCGCTACCTGTCTTCAGACTCGCATTCACTGTAATCGCTGTGGTGGCGCGGTTGACGGACCCATTTGAAAGGAAGGCGGAACTCTGTGCAAGAGGGTTACAGAAGGAAGGCATCTGCCGTGAATGAGTGCGCTTGTGGAGACTCAATTTAGAAGGATTGTCGAAATCGCGGCAACTTCCCACAACTGCCACGAATCACTGCTTCACACAACAGTAAGTAATGGAACATGCCAAGTAATTCGACCAACTTAAGATTGGGAGGAAGTAACTTCATGAATCAAGAAAACGATGCCGCTGAGATCATTTAAGTAGAAGTAGGGGGAGAGGGTAGGCAAGGGGATGGGTGAGACTCACCTCCAAGCGCCTCGCGTCTAGAGTGAGGAGGGCCGTGAAGGCGAAGATTTGTAGGACAAAGTTGATAACAATGGCTACACCGGCGTAGAGGGCGAACACACGAACAGCAGGCATGTCTGTCATAGCACCTAGACAGCAGGACAGAAGGAAGGAAGGAAGGTAGAGAAGTGGCCAAGACCGCAGACTGAGTTGGCACTCGTGATTGGCTGGTTGAAAGATCAGAATGCCAGAACTCTTGCCCCCCCCCCTTTTGGCTGAAAATGGGTTCCCCCCTACCTACACATACCGATATGTTCGAAGTATCGCGAGAATTGGTCACCATTAACAAAGGCACTTCTACTAACTCATTTACGGAATCTAAAACTAAGATGTTTGGCTTGCAAGAAGCACAGTCAAATTATGGATTGAGGTACCGACTCATTTCAGAGATCATGGGGACTTTTGTAGTTAGTGACGTTGGAGCGGAATTCCAACGTTGAACTTCCAAAAGCGGAAAAGTCTTTCATTTTCGAAATCCACAGTCAGCGTGGCATTGTGCTATTGCCTTTCAGGGAGTGAACTGCAGGTTACAGTGGCCCAGGCACAGGACTGCTTCATGTTTCCAGGTTGAATCGTAAGTTTCCTCATATCTGCATCAATGAATTGAAGTTGATTTACTTAAAAGTATTCTACAGATTTCAAACCCCAGTTAAGGGGTTTCACTGAACAAGCTGTTTGTAGGGACTGCGGCGAATTTGAGCGAGCAGGCGGTTCCTACCATCATCTTCAACTTTGACCCCATGAAAACAATCAATCGACTGCTGCAAGTGCAGAGGTCACTGGGGTAAACGGACGCGTGACCGACCTATTTCGGAATCGTGACTCCGGAAATGCTTCAAGTCCTCGAGAGGAGCCATGAGTCGACTTATACATGCATTCATGAGTTAAAGTCGAATTACTTCAAAGTACAGTCTAGGCTTTGGTCCATTGGCAATGCGGCTCGATGAACAGGGTGTTCAAGTGGACCATCGCGAGTTTGAAGAAGCAAACATTTCCTACAATCATCTCCCTCCCTCTATTGCAAGAAGTGAAGGGCGCCAGGAGTCAAAATTAAAACCGTTTAGTAGTATCTTTGGCTATTAGATAGTTTTCCTTTTACCCTCACATAACGCCATTTTGCCAGTTCAGGCTTCTCGTAGAACAAAAATTGGACTCGCTGTTGGAAATTCTACGAAATTAACTTATTCCAGACACACGGTCATTTATTCAAAAGGAAAAAAGGGTAGCTTTTATCGTAAAGTAAAGTTTCGCTTTGGCAGCGTCGACCATGAGCGGTGTAATCTTTGCCTCAAGTTAGAATTGCCCTCCCCACCAATCCGTTTATCTCTCTGCCTTACGCTGACTAGTGAAGACGTTAGAAGAAAACCGCAAATCCACTTCTACTCGGGCTGCCATCAACCAGGTGGCATTGTTGAAGGCCCCTCCAAGGGTTCACAATGGAAGTGCTGGATAAGAAAAAGGGCGAGTGATGTAAAAATGAGGAATGCAAAACCACGTTTATCGACTTCTCGCAGCCCAGTTTGAGTTACCGCCTTATACTTGGGAGTCAAAGTATTTCCTACCACCATCACTCAATTGTAGTCCGAACCTGGAGGCACAAATTACGTGACATCATTGCACCACATCGTGCCACAAACGCATACTTTGGATGCTATAGCAATGAAGTAGTTGAATTTGTCAGAAAGGAGGTAACAACCAGTGCTTGTAGTGTTCCATTCTCCTCCAATATTCTGGTAACAGCGGACGCGTTTGTGGGCTTCGTGGGCACGAAGTGTTCAGCTCATTAACAGGGGATCTTTTGTGGCTTGAGGGGAATGTTCCATTTTGGACATGTAGCGCTGACCTTAAAGTGGACGTGGCCAAAATCAGACCTCTACATTGATGAGTCATGCCTGTGTCCTGTGCCCATGTAGACCATGCGCCCACACACACGTGTCCGGAATGTGGGTCGAGGGTGGAACATCCCGGGGCCATATCAAAGTGACTGGACGTCAGCAGAACGCCATTCTAAGCTTCTTACACAAGGGCAGGCCAACAGCAACAACAAGAGAGCCCACCGATGGTTGTGTTGGCATATTTTTGGCAGTCCTAGATTCATTTCAACGTGGCCAAATAACATCAGTGATGTGAAGAGCCGCTGATTACTTCAAATGTCAGTTTTAGGATTTCCTGAGCGGTTTCCTTGGTAAGCATCCACTCACCTCACTGTTGCCTTAACTTGTTGAGTGGTTAAAAGGGATACTCTAGTGCAGACATGCAACAAAGGTGTCTTACAACAGAACAAAATGCCCACACTCTTCGCCTCTCCATTGGCCGGTGATAGTTCACGGAGGCTGTTTTTGGCGTAGGAACGCAAATGGACCCGTGGGGCTAGTAATAATAGCACAATCACTACCACGCACATGTGCGCGTGTGGATGCGTTGCATGCCGCAGTTCGTGCCAGTCCCACATCGTACGACACTTGTGATTCAAGGTCATACTAATTAGGGATACTAAGGTAACATAATAACCCCAACACAAATGCCAATCATGCAAAGCACAAGAAGCCATTGTTGTGATAAGGAAAGACTTGGGAATGGTTCGCGACTTTGATCCTCAAGGCTTTAGGGATTAATAATGTGGCCAAGTGTTCCGCAAGTCAGCCTGCATGCTCCACCTATGCTGCTAATCTGCCACCCATCCTGAGCAGTCATAAAAGTCACCTTTAGATGCGTGTGCTGTGACCTCAGAGAGGTAACTAGGGTTCTGCATTAGTGGCCTGAGAAAATATGCCTACATGCATAGATGGCTCAGTTAAAGATATTGTCTGGCTAGAGTAGAAGAAGGTCGTCTGTGGATGGTCAGGGGCTACTTCACCCGATCACCCTCATCCCAGGTTCCACAGAAATGACCACTACTAGAGCAAAAGCCAAATAATTCAATTTGAATCCACGGCGTGAATAAATAAATGCATAATCTCGTCGTTACGGTAAATCAGCGCATGTTCCAAGTAGTCTTTCTCCCTGTACCAAGGGTAGCCTCCATTCACTCAAACACTGCTGTCACTGCCAATGCAGAAGCATTAATCACAGGAAGGAGGAAGGACAACGTGGAAACTAGGTATTGGAGTGGAATTTAGTAAGGCTTTCACGAAGCGTTTCTACTTCCTAAAAATTCGGCTCCTCAGGTAACACTACCTGAAGGCGACGAGTTAGTGCAGTCTTTAACATTAGACGACTATTGGAACTTTGTGAAGTGAGTGAACGTACCACAGAAGAAAGCGACAGATTCTGCCAGACTTGAGAGGAACATGGATGGACCCACACGGCCCATAGTCTTGGCAATGCGTGCCTCCACAGGTGCGCGACCAGCAAGACGTTTTCCCACCTCACCGTTGTCCACACCATCATCTTGTCGTCGTCGTCGTCGCCGACACCGTTGTCTTCTCACCTTTCCACCAACACATCCACCAACGCCACCACCGACACAACCACCACCAGAACTCGCCACACCCTCTTCCACAACATCGTCGGCACCGTTTGCAATGCTCTCCTGACTTCCGAAGGCATCATCTTCATCCTCATCGTCGTCCACTTCCTCCTGTTCATGCATGAGAAAGTCCTGCACCATGATGAAGATGTTGTCCACACCGACAGCCAGGACGAGGAAGGGAATGACCTCAATGATGATGAGGGTGGCGGGCACACCGAGGTAGGACCAAAGACCGATGGAGGAGAAAACGGAGGCAAGGACAATCGACACGCCACCGATGCTGAGTGAGATTTTCAGGTCGATCTTGGACAATTGAATAAAGGAGGTGGAATGAGGCGTTTACACTATTTCAGGCAAATAACATTCGTTGGCTTCGCCTCTCCGTCAGCATCTTTGTCAATTATGATGATATCCCCCCACTTACGTTCAGCTACCCACACCCCATACTATCATCATCAGCAGTGATGCGAGCGGTACGCCAGTGTCCACGTGACAGGACATGTCCGACACCACTTCAGTCCTTACGAAACGTGATGCTTTGCATTTGGGCTTTAGTGAGATATGCAGAGTGATGTGGGAGGACTGGAATGGACGGGTGGATGGATGCCTGCATGATTCGATCCACGGGTAGCTGAGCTGAATAAATGCCTGAATGAATCCACCCATGTAGAAAATCATGAAATGCTCATTTGGTAGTGCGGATGTAAGTTGGCTTGCTGATTTGTCTCATGTGATCCAATTGCTACTGAAGCTTTAGAGGGATCGCAATTGGGCCAACTCAGCTGCCACAACGGTGAAATGGAATTCCACTCGTGTTATCTATGCAAAGAGTCTCCAAATAACTCCACACATTTCTCAAAAGCCACTTCACACCTCTTGTGTATTAGACCACCTTCTGCAATAACCCAGAGGCTGCACCGGTGACGCTGCAGTAGCACAGATCCTACACCTTCTTGAAGCTGTTGTTACTTCAAAGAAGGCAATGCCTCCAGACGAGTCGACACTCTACCACTACCATGGAAGGCATCAAGTGTGGATGATTGAATTAAAGAGCAGCATAACAGTGGAGTCCTATCTACATAATGACGAATCCAAAAGCGAGGCTTGCATTGAACCAGTTCAGCCCATCCACCAAAATACCTCATTCAACTACTACATCAGTGTATCGAAAGGCTGGTAAGATCAGTGGATCCTTCATCAAGTTTCTGACCACAAAAAGTAGTCCAGATAGGTGATCACGTAGTGAGATAAAGGAGCAAGACGATGATGCAGTCGTGGGATGAGAGTTCTTACAAAGTCCAACATTACCTATCGTTGATAAATACTTTCTCGGATAAATTCAACCAGTGAACTAGAGTTGGCAGAATAACAAAGATTGTCGAAACCAGAAGCCTTCTCACCATAACATGCGTTGCTCACCTCCCCACTGTTACCTTTCCGTCTCGCCAGCGATCCTCTTTTGAATGCACCTAACCACATCCACATTTACAAATGTGGACGCTACGATCAAGGGTAGCCGCCAGCTGCCTTCTCAGTGTACTGTTCTTCCATTCGAAAGTGTCTTGGTTGCCACTTTTGACCGGGTGGAGAACTGAGCACTGTACTGGATATTTTGTTACCACGGTAGCTACCTTCACCTAGCCTCATGGAAATGATCGTTGTGTGGAAGCATTCTTTGTGTGCAGTAAGAGCTTGGGGAAATCAACACTAGGCATTGGCGCATTAATCCGCTTTTCTTTTCAGGATGTATTTCGTGTTCAAAGTGGTAGCACTCTCGTGGCAATTCCTCTTACAACTCCTCACAGAGAGAGAGAGAGAGATTTAATTCGCATTTAGCAAATTCATTAAGGCGAGAATGTCCTGTCAGAGGGCAAGAACAAACACAAAGCGACTTTATCAAACAAATCACCCATTGTGCTGCAGAACCAAACAAACAATCAAGTAGCCACTCAAAGGAACATTGTTGCCGCTACAGGGAGGGCGATCAGACTACACTAAGCGACACACTTAGTGATTTTCTACATGTGCTTTGTTTTGCCTTCTCGTTCCCTTTTCCTTGATACCAAAGTGGACCGTCAACTTGGGAGACAGAATAAGCTTTGAGGGGTAAGGCATTGCCACAGTTGAGTGCGTTCCCACGCAAGTGCACCTCCTCTGTGGATTGCAGCGGAGCAGAGTGGAGCGGCATCCAGTCTTTGGGGCTATTTATCAACTTAATCCACTTTGCCGAGCAAAAGATGTGGTAAGTGAAACCCACACGCGATGCACCACTTCCCACCACATCATCCCCCTAATCCTGCCTTGCGGCTAGTTTCCATTCACTCGCAGAGGCGAAACAACTGACAGCACTGAGAACGAGGTCCAAATCACCACAGAAACTACACAGAATATCAGGGTGTACCATTACGAATATAACATTGGTAAGGTGGATAAACTCACGAGACACGTTTGAAGTCCACGATAGTTGCCAAGGCAAATGCTGACGTACACTACCATAATAGTGTAACTGATGACAATAGTGGAGATGTCCGAGTGAGATTGCCGAACAATTTCGTCCTCGACCGAGCGCTAAAAGTGGGGAACAACAAGTGCTTTCGCCTCATAAGATGTTAAAGAGAGAAGAAACTCCAACAAGTTCAGTTGTGAACACTTGCACTGTTCATTTTACTCAGGTAGAAGACGAATTTGACCAAGATTAGGGGAGGGCTTCAATCGTTCGCAGTTAGATTCATCAAGCTGATTACCTTCTCGAGAACGTGAAAATAGGGAGATAAAAGAGTGCAAACCACGAGTAAGCTTTTAGTTGCATTGTGATACAGGACTGGTGAATTTCACAGCACAATCCGCAATACAAGTCCACCAATACTACCTTCGTTCGAGAACACAAAGGTTGAGTGCTGTACTAAACCGAGGGAGGGAGTCGATATGATCACGATTTTACGAGTCATACTGTTTCACTTTGGAGGCAAAGTAACCACTACCTGTTTCACTCGAGGTTGGCATTTCAGCCTCGACGACAAAGTAACCCATGCCCTTCTGTATTACTCCACAGCCGTACTGCCAACTCTCCATCCTGAAATGAGTGCATACATGTTCAACACCGAAAAGTATTCTTTCGTGCACTCAACATCCCCTGTTTAACTTGAGCTGGCCTTACGAAGAGAAGGCGAAGAGCGAAAGGGCGCCAACCCACAAGCACATCATCCATCCATCCACCCACCTAGCTTTGCCACAATTCTGCAATTTATGGGCAGAACTGTCACAACCAGTATTCATCGAATCAGCACATATGTGGAGCGATAATGTGAGAAGGGATTCAATGGCGGGAACTTCAGGGTTAAGAATGGTCAAGGAATTGTGGGGGCTTAATTTTACCGCTAAAACAAAGTCCACGGGGAATTTATAGGGTCTGTTTCCTAACATACTTAAGCATTGTCATATAAGAAACCTTAGATTAGGAGGAAATATAAAATTCGAAGAAGGAGTAGGTCTCATCGAAATGCGCGAGATGCCACTCTCAGCATTCAGGCTTGCAGTGATGTGGAATCATCAAGCCATCGCAACTCGCCTTGAATCGGTGAATTCAATTTGCATCAGACTACTGCCTTATCAACGATCTCTGAAATACGACGCTCTAATTATTCGTTTAGTCTACGGGTTAGGCACGCCCTTCCCATCTCCAGTTGGTTGGGATATTTTCGGCTTGATGGGAAGGAAGACGCACACTAGAAGTTGCAAGATGAGACCGGAAGGAAACGTGGCCTCTGGACACACACACACACACGCACACACATACACACACAAAACGGCAAGCGGTAAAGGCACCAACTATTTGCCAAAATGTGCTAAACAGGCGATAGAACCCACCTACCCACACACCCACCCACTCACTCACTCACCCACAAGCGACCAAGTCAGCGACCTATTATGCATGCCTGTCTACAGTGGTGTGTATTTACACGAGTTGACACGAAGAAATCTCCAAGACACACACACACACACACGCTCATACCCACGCACACACACAAACACATGGGTGGAAGTCGTGTTGGCCCTCCAACTGGGACGATGCCTGCCTATTACACAAGGCCAGAGGTGGTTATTCAACTTGAGTAGTGGTGTGATTCACCTTCGATTCGAAGACACCTTCGAGTAACGAATGAAGAGCACTTATTCTCCGACTATTGAAACTCAACAACTCAACACGTCAGCGTTTGTAAAGGCTTTCGGCTCATAAAGCAAGTGTGAGGTAAGGAAAGAAGCAAATCCTGGCCCATGAAATGACCACTGTGGCGTTAAGCAGTCGAATTGCTATGGACATCGTAATAACTGGAAACGGTCCTGGGTGGACAGTGCAAGCAACCGCCAATCATGGAAACCGTCTTAGAGTTTGCTCCTCGGGTGGCGAATAGATCACACTGCCCGTAACTCCCTTGGAAATTTCATTCTGACAGCGTGCTATTCAATTCAAATGAAGTCATTTACCCTGACCGCAAACGATACCACATGGTGACCTCTTATGTGACCCCTTTGTATGCACCAACATTTAGGTTTCCACTAGCAGAGGTGGTAGTCAGTTGGGTGGAAGCTAAATATTTACACTTATGGGAGTAAACGATGCTGCAAATCATGTAGAACGCGATGGCACTTCGGCAGAGCGATCACCGAACAACCTTTCCCTCTATGGCTTTGAAGTCCAGTCCTTCGCTGCTTCGACTACTCCGATTTATGGGACAGGTGCGTCCTGCATTGGGGCGAATGTTGGCCAGCATTAAGAGGATAAAAAACGTAGACTGAAACGACAAATTTGCCGAAATACCCACGGGATATCGACAGACCCACCAATCTGATCGAAGTGGCAGGCTTACTACCAACTGGCTGTCTTTTTCGTTGCAAATCGGATTCAACGACTTTGTCCTTTTAACCTATACTGCTAGCCTCACGGCTCCTCTTGCAAGTTTTACATTCACTGACATGATGGGGTACTCAGAAGGGACCCAACTAGAAATAAATCTACTCGTGACGGAGCACCAACATCTACATCCTCATTTCTGCTTTCGAAGAAAGGATAAATGTGATCGGATACCTTCAATATGAGGTATCATGAAGGAAATTCATCGAATCATCTCTGTTCTCTCCTTTTGCAGTCTATTAAAAGCGCTGATGGCGAGGAAAAACAACACAGGTAGAGAATGGACATTCAACAAGGACTCACCTCAGCAGCAAAACTGACTACAACCTCGGGATGGGCAGCACGCCAATTGAGAACCGTACGAATGAACTCGCTTTCCCAGGCCTTGGCCATCAACACCGTCGGCGAATCGTGGTCGACGGAGTTCCGTACCAAAATTGTCATCACCACTGCTGTCGACTGCATGTAGTCGTTGTCTGCAATGAATATGACAGTTGGCAATCGTTTTGTGGAAAAGAGCAGCCTCAAGACTAGAGAACGAGTTGACAGCAGAACCGAGAAGAACCAGCAACTTTGCATTTATTCCTGTGAATATTCTCCACACCAAAAGACTTTTCACAGCACAATTATCAGTGTGGAGTGAAAATGATTGGATAGGACGTTAGAGCTGAATTTGTGTACATGGTTTGAGAAAAATGAAATATGCGACTCAATGCTTGTCAGCCTTCCAATTATGCGGCCCTTTCCGGGTTCACTGGCTCGTTCAAGAAGAAGCATGGATGAGTTAATGAAACGTGGAACGCTGCTTGATCGACTAGCCAAGAAGACGTTGACTTGATTAATAAAATACCGAGGTTTGTTCAACAAGATGCTAGCTTCGAATTCTGATAATCGTTGCACACCCAACACAAGTAAGCTCCGGATGCTTCCACAAACACCTACCCTTCTCAAAGAATAGTACAAATGAGGTAAAAGCCGGCAACTCAAACGGCAAAGGTGAGAGCTAACGCTGCCTGTAATGTGTGCATATGCTAGTAAACCAAAAAAATTGCCAAAAATGTTGAAGATGGGGATGCAGTTCACGGACGGGAATGAAGCCCACAGGAATATAATTACGGTGGGGCTCCATCGCATTCCTTCAAAATGAATGCCACGTCTTTTGAAGGCTCCCTTGTGGTCTGCCGAAAGGAACGCTTCTACCAACTCACGTCAAAAAGGACAATTTTTCATAAGAAGCAGAATCGAAGTAATTTGCGTTCAAAAAGGTGCATGGCACTTAATAAAGCCGGATAACTTGAAGACCTTCGTTTTATTGCAGTACGCCCCACAACCCTTATACGCTAGTCTGTTCCTCCGTATAATCGCATCATGCAAAAGAAACAAATTCAATTTTTTCCACGAGGGTGAACCAGTAAAAGTTGAAAAAAAAAGCCAGTCCACTAGATGAAAGCGTCGGGGTACTTTTGTAGTCACCTTTGCAAGGTGGCACTTCGACCAATTTCGTATATCTGTTTGATACCTGAAGGTAGAATCTGCCGTTGCAACATCAGAAAACCACACAAAAACAATTCATTTTTTTTTCATCCTGACAAATGAACTAGCTGAACCACCTACGGCCGAACGAACATACGAAAATCGCTCCATCAGATTTAGCTTAACTCCGGTCAACCAGCTCTCAACGAGCAGTCCAGAGACACTAAGGTTCCTCCATTCAGTCAATGCTAGTTCCAAAAAGGGAACTAGCGTTTGAATTAGTAATTCTCTTGCAGCTTGAAGCGGACAAAAAAGTTGAAAGGTGATAAGCCGCCAGCTTTGTGATTGGAACTATGATAGAATCCGCAGCATAACAATAACGGCGTGTACAATCCGCTCCTCACGCCAATTACAAGTACATGTGACCGCAAGCCACGGACTGGACTGACCTTTGGAGCCCAGCGAAGTCAAACACAGCCTTCGATACATTGTGTGCATGCGTCTGCACGTGTATTTTGTGGGGTGAACCGTCAGGACGCTTCATTTGGACGCGGTTTGGAGAGCATACACATCGACCTCTTCTCTGGCGATGGAAGACATGGAAACAAACATGATGAATTTCAATTTTGTTTTTTTTTTGTTTCAGGCTTCTTTCACGCCTACGGTGGAATAAAACGAGTTGAGCTGCTCCCTCGGACATTACTTAATCAGCATCAACAACAGGAAATGCGTCCTACACCAAGCTGTAGGCTATAAAAAACAAAGCGCTTTGAAAAACCATTAAGCACTTATTCAAAACAGGAAATAATAGGGGACCAGAGTAATTAAATGTGCTTTGATAGTGTTTTTCCTATCATTCTCTACAGTGGTAAACAGAATTCCTGGTTATTTTTTTACTGCACTTTAAAATTATTTTTAAAACCGGAGAAAAATGTTAGGTGCATGTTCTGCTGCTTAGACCCTGAGAGTGCCTGAAATAGAAAGCGGAAGTCCGCTATTCTGCCAATCGTGAGTCAGCAAGAAAGAGCCGATTTCTCAAAGTTGAAAGCTTGTAGTCTTCCTTTTCTCGCCCCCACCCACTACCCAACATCCCCTTTCTGTCCTACCCCCTCACCTTCAATGCCACCGAAGACAACGTTCCCAAACATTGGAGCACCGGCACGTCCACGACACCCACTCAGAGGTCCCTTGTCCGCGATTATGAGTTTGGTGCAGAACACGAGGTGGTCCAGGTAGTCTTTCCCCTCTACCTGCAAAGACCACAGCAACGGCAAAATCAGTATTAGTTAAAAGAAAACGAAGTTAATTTTCACTTCATTGAGCCCATGTCAAGACAAAGAGAGCCAGTTGCTACTCTCCCTTTCTCCAGTCATACCGTCAATTCGTCCTTTTCTTCCCCTCCAAAGTAGTGGCATGACTTATGTGCGTTTGCCGCCTACGTGTTGTCAGCCAGAGCGAATTAGTGTGATTGGGGTCGGTTAAATGCTGGTAACTTCAATACAGTGTGCATATACGGGAGGCATTCAGTGCCAATTGAATGGGTCGTCATCAAAGGCATCAACCACATCATCTGTAACATGGAAATCTTAATGCTCCAAAGCTATGTAACGTTTCTGGGTATGACAGACAATTAGGCTGTAATGGAGCTGAAACAATCAAATATGGAACCCAAGCTGTGGACGGAATAAAAGTAGCAAGACAAAAAGAATAAGTTAGACGTACCACAGCATCCAGCAACGTTGCATTGCTCTGGAAGTACTCCAATGGACTAAAGACACCACACTCCTGCGAAGCGGGTTCCAGCGGTTTATGGCAAATATCATTCAGCGCCACCTCGCGCCCCAACGCTTCACTAAAGGCTCGCACTCGGGTAACTTTGGTTTGAAGATCAAGCACCTACAAACGCGATTGATTGAGATGAAAAGACAGCTCAATACCAACATACCGATTTCAGAAAGTCCTTATCAAAGACGGTTCCAAAGGTGCGATCATTTCGCACGTAGGGTGTTGCATTCACGGGACGCATGATAATCTGCTCCGTCCTGTAGAACGGCCTGAAATGACAAACGACAGTAATAATGGTTACGTACTATATTCAGTCAAAGCATTGCAACCTGGGTCTCCTGCACGGTTAAGTTTGCCTGTTTCACCGAAATCTGGTGAATGGATAAACAACGACAAGGTATGGGGTACAGTAACCGTACAAATGATATTGACATCGAAAAGGGCAACAAAAATTCAACACTATTTGCAAATTTTTGGCCTGGGTAGCACTTAAAGGAACTAGTTTTCGTGTGAGGACGTGCTTGAATCGCCGCCGGATGCACTCTAAGACGAACGCTAAATTAGACCAAAAGGGCAGATATTACCACGTAGATTTAATTTCAAGAAAGGGGGAAGTAAAAGGCCTCTCAAATCACCTGTAAATCGGTAATGCTGCAAAGGTTGGTTAAGTCAAAAACGCCAACAATATTGCACACATAAGGGGAGATGTACCTGCGACTACTTTGCACACACCGGTACCAAGTGTATTGTCTTGCCAACTAGTAGCCGGCGCGTGGGCCAATCCAGCAGTGGTGGTAAATGCGTCCGAGGTACATAATACAACAACCAAAGGTTTCATAGGGATGACACAGATACCTACTCGTATCTATAAGGGCCTCCCAGCACGCCCCATTGCAGAGCCAGGAAACAATGTGACATTTTAAGGACTGCCGACCGTACGTCGTTGATGAATATAACTGTGATGGATCTCAGCTTTTGGTGCAGCATTCATCCCCAAACGCCTGATTCTGGATAATCGAAGCATAATGTGGAGTAAAATCGCACAAATGATAACTCTTTCCACGACACCAGTCAAAAAATATTAGTTAGGATTTGCAATTGCAAGAGGTTAGGACACGATGGATTATAAAAATTCTTGCTGTAACAAAGCTACTTTCCTGTATGACCAGGTCTTTAGGGGAAGATAAATGCATTCCACTCCCCAATCCATGAATCTTGCATAAGGACGAGTCGCGGTTTGCCTTGCACACCCCTCGCAGCTAACAAATGGGAACAGTGTGGCACAACCGGAGACACTAAATTTGGCCACAACAATACACCCATCGTTGGCATGTAAATGTGATTACTCCTGAGGGTGCAGAGTCCATTGAAAAAGTGTGATGACGTTGATTCAAATGCATATTAGGCCAGTGATTTACCTCCAAACCGTCTTGCAACACAAATTCTTGCCAATCCTGATTTAAGCAGTTGCTGTAAAGCTCAAAAGGGAATTCGGACAATGTCACGTATCTATTCATCTTTCCACCCACTCCTCAACGTGTCTACTCATTCACCAACTTATCCACTCCTCCATCCATCCGTCTATCCATCAAGATTTCCGTAAAGTTAGGGTGGAATGCTAATTGCCTGGGCGAAAGCATTTATCCAGGGTTCGCACAATTGCCACTTAGAGTTGCATGATGTCAGCCTAATAAGGGGGAAGGTGGGTGGGTGGTAGAGAGCTGGTCGAGGAGGTCACGTGGTGTTTAAGTCCAATCGGAGCCCGAAAATTGAGATCGCTCCAAAGCTCAAATAGGATCAACAGCCCCACTAGTCACCCAATCGAGAACCCGGCCATCCATCCATTTAATCATTTGTCCATCTATGCACGCACCCATCTTTCCGTCTATTCAACTACCATTCTGCCCAGTCCTCCACTCACCCATAATCCATGCAGCCATCTGGACAATCTGTCCATCTGTCCACCGATAATGCAAACATTTTTATAAAATGGATAGTTAACCATTAACCTTTTGCAAAAAATGAGTACGCGACCGTGAATATTGTGGCTATGGTGATATCAAAGATCATAGATTACCCGTAAATACCCGAAATTTTGTGGCATAAAAACATGGCACGTATGATAATGTCCAAGGAGATCAAATCAAATATTGTTCATCGACTCTTAAAAATTGTGGCAGTTACCAATTTGCGTACTTGAATCCGACCATCAAGCCACATCCACCCATCCACTCGTCTATCCAATTTGGGGAAAAGGTCCGGAATGCTAATCTGTTTGTGACAAGTTCGCACAAATGTGATGGCAACAACAGTCCGGGCGAGAGATTGGGAAAGAGGCAGCCATGTAACTTACTTCTGACACAGATAAGACATAATGGCCAAAGTTGAACACATTGAACGCATGAAATTAGCTCACGTGGGTCAAATTGATAAGGGTCTTCGTTGGAGCCCGTGCAATTAAGTTTTACTGATTATTAACCTAACCGTACCTCCCACATCCCTCCATGCAGTCTTTCACGAACCACCCATTCGCTTATCCAACCCACCGCCTATTTATTCCTCCACCCATTTCGCCTTATATAGGCCAGGAAGAACATATATGCGCTATGCGAATAGTGCCGTTAAGCCCCTATCTGCTGAAGCAATTGCACTCCTTACTCACTCGGATAATTGCCGCTGCAATATCAAAGTTACACAGGACAATTAACAGAATTTTGCAGTAGGCGCTTACCCAAAGTGTCCATCGAAGTAGGCCTTCTCAAGACGAGCTCGAGAATTGGGATCGCTCCAGAGCTCGACCGGGTCTGTGGTCACTCGGAAACGCAGGAAACCGCAACACGCGACTGCCAGTAAAATGGTGGTTAGGAGGAGGGTCACTCGTGGAAATCGAGCCACTAGAGCTCCTTGGCGAGCGAATAACTAAAAGCAGAGGAAATAAATTTTTCCAGAGTGGAAAGCAAACTTTTCTACAAACTCTCGATTTCCTCAACACGGTTAATCTACTAAGTCGCCCCACCACTAGAATGGGAACCTCAAAAACCCTTCGGTTACAATGAAAATTTGTCCAGGCATTTGTGCTCTTCCACTCATTTCTATCTCTAGGGCATTTTCAAGTTGCCTAATCACCGTTTTCATAAATAATACAGACAAATAACAGTCGAAAACGGTAAGAACAACGGCGAAAAGAAACGGCAGCCATCCGGCAAGTCTACGCTAGTTTTCATTAAGATGCTATGTAAGACCCTTTCCAATAACAGGAATAGTTTAGTATGTTGAGCACTCACCCATGTAGATCCAAATTGGATGGTAGCCCCAACCTTGGAGTAGCAGCTAATGGGGGGTGAATAGGAGCCAGCCACAGTGTTGTCCTCTGAATGACGATTCACACACCATCGAATGACTAACCCCAGGAGAAAGAGAAGGGTTAAACCCAAAAAGGTCAATAGCATCGCCAGCCACATTGGACGTTTGAACAGGCGTTGGGGAAGGGCCATGTCCTCCAGCGTCTCCTCTGATTTGCCTACCATTCCTGCCGCCCCTCCACCAACCTCGTCCTCTGTGGTCAAACCATCTGCGGAGAAAAAAAGATGCGTGGACCCCAGGCGTTTCCGACGAGTCGACTATCACGCAACTAAGATGCAGCTATGTTCATGGTATGGGTGTTCTGGTTTTTCAGTACATAGGCTTGGTGAAGAAGCCGAACCTACATTCAAAACTGCCCGACAATCCCGCTTTTTCGTAGATGAATGGTACGTCAAAAGGCCATACCTGCTGATGGATGAATTTGAGGAGAATTCTGACAAAAGCGACTGAATTACGAAACATGTCCACTGTAGAAATATCATCCAATCATCAGATTGACCTTATAAATGAATCCATGTCCAAAACAGGTTGCCACACGGGGCCTGTGGCATTTAGGGAACCCATCAACTACTAATGAAGTTATACTTTTCTTTCCTGTCTTGCCATTGACTATACACCAACAAATGACCTGTGATAACCGAACCAGAAGAGTGGTCACAAGGAATTCCGAAGAAGGTACCCGAATGAAGAGTAGGAGGAGACTATGGAGTAGAATGATACCTGTTTCATTTGCATATTCAACTATGCGGATACTTTAGGTCTTCTACAACGCTGCATTTAACCAGAGTTCTCAATGAGATAAGTGACCAATAGGCAAAAGTACCAATTCCACTCCCTATTCTGCTTTCACAATTAAAGTAGGTACAAATCTGGAATTAATGCATAGATTGAATGGTTTTATTAATGATTTGTAAATGAGTTTAAAGAATGCTATTTGTAGCGAAAAAAGCGAAGCAGCTCCACTACTTTGTTGTGTTGTTTAATCTTAACATTAATCAAATCGCGATTGAATTACAATATCATTTTATGCTTTTTAACTCTCCGATAATGAAGCGGAGATCTTTTCAGTCTCTCGGCCGCTCTCTACACGGATTATAAGGCCACTCGTGGACGAGTGCAGGGCAGATTGATTTAAGCTTATGCTACTTATAGTTTGGATACTGCGTGACGAACGCTCAAAAGATGATCGGAAAAGGAAAGACTACTAACCACTAATAGCAGGTTCCCCGACCTCATTCACAGGCAGAAGATTCGGCGTCAGTGTTGTGGAATTGCCGTCAGCAAAGTCATCGGTGAAGACGAAGTTGATGTTGTAGGGTGAATCACCCCCACTCGACTTAGGAAGTCCAAGTATGCGGAAAAAGGTTTCCATGTCGCAGTCACTGTTATCGGTTTGGCAAATCGTTTCGATTGGTCTGCCCGTAAATCCGCCTTCAATGGCCTAAAAGGTCATAAGGAAAGTGAAATTTTTGATTAACTTGTTTATAGTTTCAAGAGAGATGTTCGTTTAGGCGATACTGATTCGGACCGCATCAGCCAGACTTCCGGTAACCCAGCACTTTTGAGCCAATTCATCATCGTGCGGTGGGATGAACCCATACCTTACCTTTGCAAAGAATGCGATCGAGCACCCTTAAAGTTTAGCGAGGTTTAGTCTAAATAGGGCAGCAACGAGGTATCTATCAGAGATGTAAAAATTTGTGGGATATCACAAGCTAGACCAGTTCCTGGAACGAGATTTGCATTGAAAAAGACTGCCTTTGAAAACACATCAATAGCGACTTCAGCTCAACTGCACTTCTCGGACGAAAAATAATAAACTTATAGCAGGTTTTTTAAGCATGTATACTGCGGTTCAGTCTCCAAGGCAATTGCTCAAAGTTCTGCTCATTCAATTAGCATTCCAGTTCTGTTGCACAGGCTTGTAATAAATCAGCCTCCAAAAAAAAATGTCGTACAACAGCTTCAAAAGTAATCTGGGAGCTATAATGGTGGGAATACGATGGGGAACGCCAAAGTCCATATCCACTGTGAGGAACATGTCATCTTTTAATTGATATCCCAATACCGAGAAACGGGTCGTGACTAGAACCTAGTGATTAGTAAAATCTGGAAATCCCACAACTCTCCAAGCTTCAAGAATCCTAAAATAACTTAAACAAACTACTGAGAGGGGGTGGGGCATTGGAATGATAAAAAAAGGCGAAGAAGGAATGAAATGAGGGCCCAAACATGAGGAGCTACTTTGCATTGTGTATTTAAGTAAGGCATATTTGGCCAATTCCACATACGAATAGAATTTGATGCAGAATGCGAGAACGCACACACAAGCGAGAGAACTCACCGCACAGGCATCGAAGATGACCTGAGCTTTACCGCGTGAGAGAGGAAAATCGACTGATGTGACCGCTCCGTCGGCGGCACTATGACCAGTGACCTTAACAAGCTCCGACTGGTGGGGGCTACAGGTCATGTCACAGAAGATCTTCCGCAATCCATTGTAGCAGGTCATGTCATCTGCGCTGGTTGAAAGTGTCGAATAAAAGGTGGCGGAGATTAGCTACGATAGCTTTGAGTAACGCAGGTAGGGTTAATCCAACCAGGTAAAAGTGAAAAAGGCAGCTTACTTGTTTAATATCAGGGCTTTAGAGGAAAAATGACCGTCCATAAAACATGTTTTATTTGAAGTTACGCCTTCTCAAAACCAAGAATATCTTCCACACCTATTCCACTGTTCTATACACGACTTTTTTGATATGGTTTGACTAAAATGAGTGTTAGACACTAATAAAGAATAGATATCACATTTATGACGCAGGTAATGTTAGGCTAAACTAGTAGACCGTTCATAACTGAGTGGCAAAAGCAAGATTCCTATGCTACTACTAGCACAAAAGATTCAATTCAATGATCTGATTTAATATGGAATGAGTCAGGTAGACATTCATAAAGATGGGTGGGGACTACAATGAAAGCTATAATTTAGGTGAATTATTAGGTTATCACCAACTGACCGACGAGAAAGGCTAGAGCACAATTTTAATTAAGCTGAAAAAGACTTGCAGCGAGGGACATCGTTTAGCTTAATTTGGCTATCTGGCAAAGAAGAGGATGTCGTGTCATAATCCTAACATAATAATGTTTACTCGTGCAGATAGATAAAGACGATAAATTTAACAATACCAACGAGTCATGAAACAATGGGAAATCCTTCAAGGTTTCACATCGGATGATAAGCTAATCTTCGAACGATTGGTATCAAAGAACACTACTTCGATGTAGATAAGCGTAAGTGGACCCAGTGAAGTTGAAAAGAAATACAAAGCCAAATTCCAGTGATCTACGATACATTATGGAAACCCAAAAAACCCGCAAAATTGTTTAAAAAAAAACTAATTCCGGAAAGAATTAATGCAAGAAGAGAAAGTCAGACCATAACTAGAGGTTTGCCGATTAAACTACACAGACTTCAACTTAAATCAGAAAGTCCAACATATAATAAGCGACACAAAACACTAGCTATTTTTAAATAAATCTAAAAGGATGTTTAATGGTAATCAACAAAGTAATTAAAAATAACTTTGGAACAAAGTTGACTTCTACGAGGTGAAAAACTTTTTTTTCCCAACTTACTCTCCGACAAGGAATCCAAGCATGAGCAAATTGTCATCCAAACCGCTCAACTGTTTTCGATCGCAGCATTGATCGGGGCTGTCAATACCGCAAACCTTCTTCAGAGTGCTACCCGGAACAGACACGGGTGGTTGGTTAACAAGGCAATATTGTTCGCTGTTGCACATGCCGAACATCACACAGTCCGCATTAGACCGATAGACCAGAAAGAGTATAAGAATACAAATATGCATGAAAGCAAGTCGCATCTCCAATGCTGAAAAATAAAAGAAGCGCGAAAAGGATAGTTGAAGAGGGCAAATACTTGATTAACAGATTGGAGTTATAAAGACTTAGGCCTACAGCTAAGCAAACGTTTCGATGGTAGGAAGAGCGAAATAAAAGTGGGGACCTACATTTGCGAAAAAAAATCTAGTGAAATCCTTCGCTGATGTTTGAACTGGTGACCCTGCGAGGCGAGCAGCTATGCTAGCGTCTCATTGGACGAGGATCCGATTTCCAATCAATGAAATGTGAGGATACATTTAATTAAACTAGTTAAACAATTGATTTAGACAAAATAGGCTATGCCCGATATATTTTTTTAGTGCATATAATTAAAATTAGAAAAATGGCTATTAATGTAATATTTTTAAAGACAGCTTTAGTTGGTCTGTTTATTATTTTGGTCTTTAAATTTTGAGAAGTTATATAACATATATGTTTCCTGAGCGACCAAGAGAATTAATTACAAAGCACACTTTAGTTCCATTCTTTACGTCTAGGTTAAGTTGTGCTTTTTTTATTTTAGGAGGAACGCTTTGGTCATGAGCCCCTTTTAATTACGGCCTTCAAATAAATAAGTGTGGATTGCCTTAAGTTCTCACTAAGTAGTAAAAACTCAAAATAGGATTAAAGAACTCACAGTACCAATGTATGGAAGAGTTGAGAGGCTTTTGGAAGGGAGGTTTGACTCACGGGTGGCTTAAGTGGCCTAGTGCTCAAGAACACCTAACCTCGATGTCGCATCTGATGCTGGCACTTGATCACCTTGATACCCGAAATGGAACAACTACAGGCTAGTGCAAAGATAACGACAAACAAGAGGAGACCCACCCTAACGCATACCCGGATACTTCCTCGAATCGTCATCCAAGACACCAGCCTCCCACCCCCCTCGAACATCGATGACCGGCCGGCACTTGACCCAACGTCGCCACGCTGAGAACCTAGACAACCCGGAAGAAGACCCTCCACAAAAAGAGAAACCCAACACTACTAAAAGGGGTCAAATAATTGAGGTATTCTCAAAAGACACGATAGAAGATTGGGAGCGGGAATTCAAAATATGTGTGGCGCTTTCTGCATTGTCTTCCACAGTTGCCTAATGATTTCGATGCACGATTGGATTGAGAGCAGCCTTGACCTCGTCAATGACCTCCTCCTTCGATTTACTACCATCGATGTGGGTCACTAGCCCCTTTTGCGTGTAGTACTCGATCACTGGCAGTCCCTCGGTCTTGAATTGCACGAGTCTGCAAGGCAAAAAGAAGGGGGTGGAAATCAGCCATTGGGGACGACCAGACAAAACTAAACCTGGAACGTGTTTGCAACTGGCGTCACGAATCTGTAATGTGCTATTGATAAGTTTACTGACAGCTGTAGTTATACCAAAGCAAAACGACATTGTCAGCTATGCATCAAGATAGTGTTGCACGACAACATGCAAGGCATTACGAACACTGCTATACGATGTCTGGTACGCCGTAATGGCGTGAAATACATCGCTAAGCTCATCCACAAGGAGACCCGCGGCGTGTTCATGGTCTTGCACAGCGCTGTCACACACACACACAATGAACACGCGAAACGCAAGACCGTCACTGCCATGGACGTGGTCGATGCCCTCGTACCTTCTGCAGCTTCGGTGGCTAGGTTGCGCCGCAGATGGCTGGGGTGGATCGAGGGCGGATGTGACGGTAGTGAACACGTTAAAATGTGAGGGCTGTAAAACACGATTTTTACCAATACCGCTATGCATCCAGAGGGATGAAGAGCAATGGAGGAGAGGTTACTACCCTTGACAACCAGAACAATCCACATCATTAGGAATTCGGCTGAAGACACACGGTTATGGATATTTAACACGTCAGCTTACCTATTTTTCAGTGTCTTTTCGTTATCATCAATTCGACCGGAGCCACGCCGAAGACATCGGTCAATGCAAACCTAAAAAGGGAGGAGCATGCACCCAAATGTGGAAAAATAATCGAGAATTAAGGTTCTCCCCTCACCCCGACTCTTTTTAAAGGAGGAAAGAGTACGGAGAGAAAGTAGACGTTTTCCCAACCTCCTCAGGACTTAAGTGTTCTTGTATCTGTACTTGATATTCACTGAGCAAAGTGACAACCCTACCCTATCGCCTCACTTTCCATTGTCCGTGATTGCTGGAGTAGGATCAAGACAAATTTTGGAAAACAAAAGCACAAGAACCACTTCCCATCACAAATTAGACAGTTAACAAGCAGAAGGCTGCTTTTTGAATGTATTTGAGGGAAGAAAGGAACAAACTGATACTCTTTGAAGCTTATCACTCAGCTTTCACGGCGACTTTTTTTGAGTAGTTTCATTATCACTAAAAGAAGTTCCTGATACATTTATCCTGTACGATTTCATGTATTTTTCCCTTATTATCAAGAAGGGAAGGTCCTCCACTCCCTTCTCTACCTGACATGATGTAGCCACCCCTTAAGCGGCCCCATCAACAGAATCACATCAGCTGTTTCAATAACTTTTGGACGGTACATTGTTTAGATGCCACAAGGAGGTTTTGCCCCACTCGAACCGGATTAAACGCGAATCGGAGGGCAGGCAGGCTGAAATTACACCCGATTCAATCGGTACTTGGTGATTTGATACTCCGTAGAGATATTGTATTGCCAAACCAATATGTACATGTGCCATGCCCTACAGATTACAAGCAATCGCAACGAGTCACACCCAAATACCCAGGTGGTACAAATAACAAATTGCTGATAGGTCAAAACAAATCGGTATCTATTTCGGCAGAGTGGCAAAAAAAACGTACAAAGGCGTGAAGCAAATATTTATGAAAAAAAAAAAAACAAATTTTAGTCGTCGATGCTTGCAGTTAACGATGCTTCACTGATTTACGCGACAAAAATAGTTGTCAAGAGCTGCTTCCAAAGTTTGAATATTTCTTTAAGCAAGCATCTGCAAGGAGTCGCTCATGTAAATTAAAATCAAATGGAAACAATTCAACTAGCTAGTTGCTCTTGAAAGACATATTTACCGACCTTGCTATCTCAACTGAGATCCCAGTAACCACCAGCTGCACTGCTAGATGAAGGCTCGACCAGCCCACAACTCATCCACAATACTTTCCAAGAATCGCGCTTTAACATTGTAGTGTTATGAACCTCGACAGTATGAGGGAAGCCTAAACATTCTTACTAAAATTGTCCAAAAACAGAAGGACAGGTGGTACTGCTGGCACCTCGCCTTAGCACGGACGGCAGAGTGTTGGTTCTATCACCATATTCCTTCTTCGCGCTTCCCTACTGAGGTAGGCTAGCGGTCTTTGCCAGTACCCCTTACGAAACGCTGTAGAGGTCTAGCAAGCTTCGTAATAGATAAAACAACTTGAATTTCTTTAGAGGCAATAATGGAATCCAAAACCAGTTGCAATTTGTGCTTTACTTTTCGATGGTTTTATCAAAGACTCCAATTTTGTTTAGATGAATGAGACAGTGTTAATCGTTGGAAGGAAGCTATCATGTCGCACGCTCCAAACGACATTGTCTAGAAGAATAAAAGTTAGCCTTTTCTTGCCTACTTTCACTTACAAGTAGCGATACTTGAAACAAAGGGAGTAGAATTACTGAACACGCTTGAATGGTCCAGCGAATCACTCAAATGTTGTTGCGGAAAGGAATTCTCCTTTCGATAGAACATCAAGTCTCTGATAATCAGTAGACAATCCAATAATAATATTATACTTCTGACGGAAGTAATATTCCTCCAGATGTCTACCGTTTAATACCGTTCCCGTTAACCACTGGAATTTATCTGCAGTGTTGCTGTCTCTGTAACGCCGACAAACTCCTTCTCTAAACAAAGAGACTTCGAACACCTTCTAACAACTCATTTCCCTGTCGAAGCGGGAAGTGGTTACTTACTAAGGCATAAAGTTTACCATAGTCTACACACTGCCACAAATCTCAACGCCATTCGACTGGTGCCATCTTCACTTATGCCCTCTTTAACGACTTTCCTTGACCTTTACCCCACGTTCAGTTTGCTTAGAGAACAGAGAAAAGCATGTTAACACCCAAAAGAACAATATTTACACCTCACAAGTGGGCATATAGATGTGATTAGGGGTGCTATTGAAACAGAAGCTACCCACGTCAATGTGAAACTCCAATTCACATTGCGTCAGACGAAATGGTAAAAAGCCCCATACAATGGCGCCGGAGGTAAAAGCTAAAAAATCGACTTAAGCATAGCAAAATAGAAAATCACACAAAAGTAGCCTCTAAATCGGTGAGAATGTTTAGTATTTTAAGGTAGAAATGATGCATTTTGATAAGATAGGAGAAGACATAAGCTATGTATAAAAAATAAAGTTCTTCGAACAAACAGTTGTAACACTTTTCTAAGCACTGGAGGATACGCTGCGTTCAATGACGCTCCCCGGAAAAAATTAGCTTCTATGATGATTTATGCAAACACGTCGAGGCGCTGGAAACATACAACAACGTAGCCACGTTGCAACGCCGTCATAAATGCAAGAATCTTCCGAACTGACAGTAATCTCTTGGGTAAATCATTACCCCTACATTTGACGGAAGGTTAAAGCCCCGAATCAATTATTTCATCACTTCATATTAGGGGACTTTGTGTGGAACTCACGGAAAGCAGTTATAGCAATAATAATGCTTTGTTTTTACCTTTGAAGTGTAGCTGGCAGGATTACGTAGGTGTTAAAGAATTTAACGGCATAGTTTTTCACGACCTAAAGCATCAAATTGTGAAGAGCTGAGGTGGATCGAGTAAGTCAAAACATGTGACCTAATCCCTATTTGACAAAAGGGAGAAACTTGATGAATCATATCATGGTCTCGCCTACAACAACTGGATTGCCAGTTTAAAAGAGTAATGGCAAAACTAGTTGTTTAAGAAAGCAATCCAAGCATATTTTGATAATACAGTGAACTCACGTTATCTGGACAATCGAGGACAACGACTTGAAGGACTTTAGTCTTATCACTCATGGAGGCCTCCCATCCCGATTTATTGTCTTCATTGCGAGGGAAACCGTCCACTAGGTAGTTGACACACTTCTGGCTGCTGTAGCCTTCTAACATAGCCTGAACACATAAACAATGAAATACATCGACTTCGTCCATCTTAAACACTGAAAGTTTCCCTTCAGTACAAAAGCGGCGCAAATGAAGAGTGAGTTTAGTGCAATAAATACAGTGTGTTTCAATTAATATCCTTCTTAACCAAAGCAAAATGAGACACGACTCATTTGGCGTATCTACAAATAAGTGAAAGGGGGCTCAAGCGCCAAAGAGTTTTTAAAAAAGACAGACTCAGCAATCCTTTCCTGTAGTTTTGGTTATTAAATTACAAGGTAAACTGTCATTTGACCCGATAAGTGAAGAGACAGCCCCCTTAACTGCGTTCTCCATGTCTACTTCGAGAATTGTTTTACTACTTTGCATAGGATATGTTGTAATCAGGATTAGTCCCAAATGAGACCATTAATGGGCACAATTGGGTAAATATGAGGTAGAGTTCAGTTTTCCTAACCTAAGATTTACGTCAAGAAAGCTCAGATGGATGGGCCCAATAATCTTCTCTAGAAGCGTAATATGTGGCCTTAACTCCTGTCCAACTCCTAACTAGAACAGCCAATAAACAAGACTGACACGGATGTCCCTTTTCGGAGGATATAAGTAAGCAAGAGGCTGTGGCATGCGCGTTTGGAATGCCTACTTGGTGGGGTGTGGTTAAGGTTTGGTGTATTTATAATACTTATTCACTTTGGTCTTATGGTGAATGTTGGCGGTATTAGAGCGAATCTAAAACTGACGTTAGCCGGTAAGGAGGAAAGGGGCGGGGGCTTAACACTTTGGAAGGCTTGGAAATTCGCCAAGGGGACAGAAACCTCCAGAAACCTACCGTAGGATCGTTTTCTAGTTTTGCAGACATCTCAACAGATAATTTGCGTGACACAACTATCCGAGAAATTACCTCTGCTAATTTGTCAGGGTTTCAGTGTATTATATTGCAAAGACGCCCAATCATGGGTAAACTCGAGGAGAACGAAATAGGACGGGAAATGTTTACAACTACAGGTGAAAACCCTAGTAAGCAGGAAAAGAACCTCTGTTATAACAAAATTGGCACGCAGCCAGAAATTACACTAAACGCGGCCATGTAAAGGATTGCTTTAACCAGAACAACGCCAAAACAGACCCATAAGGCATTAAAACTGACTTTATGAAGGAGAGAACAGGTGATGGCAACAGGAACTATTGTGCCCGCCTTCATGTACGACTCGATTTCAGCCGCGACCTTTGAATTCGGCGAATTCATTTCCTTCCGCAAAAGTTCGCCGGCAGATAAGTGAATCATGTCGAAATGCTGAAATTCAAGTAAAACATTTATCGATTACAATATCAAGAAAGTAAGCACAAAGTCATTAGAATGATACAAAAAACATTAATTTTAAAAGATTTAGGCCAGAAAGGCTCTATAAATGCTACCAAAGCTATCGGCGGGCAGATGGTGCCTTTTCCGGAACCGGGTCCCCCAAGCATGAAAATCACGCCGAATGGCTCTGTACAGTGATGGGTGGAGTCTTGTTTAGCCGCCATTGGAGTGCTGAAATATTTGCAAAGGATCAGAAGGGGTCTTTTCAACAATGAGATGGCAGTGCAACTACTGCAATATGCGTAGCATAAGCAGTGCATCGCACTATCAACTGGCACATATCTGTCAACATACACGCACCACCTGCTTTCGGAAGACGCGGAACAAATTAAGGTAAGCTGAAAATGAACGCGCAAGCCATGCGTTTAAACGACAATATGAACGTAACGGCAAATGTATTAAGAGTATATAGGGACGCAATAACCGTGTGTAGACCTTTAACTTGCACTTCTCAGTACAATGCATGCGCTTATGCTGTATTTTTTTATCAACATTAATAATTTGCACAACTGGTGGTAGGTTTGAAACATAAGCTACTGCTGTGTCAGTAGCTTAACTGATGTCTAAAAACGCCAATGCGTAAAGGTTTTAAGACAGTATGGTAGTTG